TGGATATATTAGGTCAGGTGGACTCAATGTAGACAGAGTATAAGTGTGGAACCCACAAACTTTTACAACAACCTAAGCGGACTGTCTTGAGTGGAGAATCTTTAAGATTCATCACGATGTGCAGTAAGGGGGCAATAAGACCAGTATCGTGAAGAAAGAACGATATAGCAGAGCTTGAAAAGTCTAGTTCTGGGGAAGGGGTCGGGGGTCAAGTTTTCGATGGGTGAGGAATATCTCTTAGAAGAGCTTCCTCGAGGTTCAATCATGGTTACGTTACAGTAGATGAGCAGTAAATACTGGCAAATGTATACAGAATGTACAGTTGTTAAGAAGGTGTCCTGGTAAGTATTGATTTAGTGAGTGTTGTTGAACGGGAAGAAGTGTGCGGGAACATTATTGGAAAAAGTTGAAGACGAGTGGGAAGCAGTATTTTGTTTTTTGAGCTAAAGGGGAGTTTATTTTGTGGATGACTTGTGAGATGGGAAAACAGATTGGGACTTATATTGTTTGAAAGGGCTTGAGGAAGGTAACCACGAAGGTGTTGAAAAGCTTAATATGTAATGGAGAATTAATTATTGTCTTTTAAGTAAAGTTAATCTAGCGGAGAGGCCATGATGAGCCAGGGACATTGAATACGGTAATCCACTGTTCTCGGAATTAAGGCTACGTCTCCTATCATTGAGTTTAAGGGGCCCAGAATGTGAAAGCCTTCGCGACCACGAGTTCATTCCAGAGCGAGTTTTCGATACTGGAAATCTGAACGACCACTAATCCAAGATGGAGTAAAGCAAAAGGGCCACACTGTTGTAAAGTAGACCACCATTGAGGTCACGTGCCATTGACTTGGTATAAGGTCTTAGCGATGAAACATTCAATAGGTCCATCAAGCAGTGTCTAACCAATGTCTTACAACAAGCTTCACAACCGGGACATCTAGCAAATCTGCATCTGAAAAGAAACACGAGAGGGACCCGCCCAAAAAACCGGGACCTCATGTAAGGCAAATGTACATATTTTACATTTTCTTCACCCCTAATTTATCCAATCGGCATTCAATACACTGGTCCAGTCGACCTTCTTACTCATAAAATGAAAAACTTCCAGCTCATCTTTGGATTCCCTTTCAAAAAAAAGTGATCTGATAAGTGGGGTTAATAGTAAAAAAAATGGTTTGGGCGCGAAACCAATTCATTGTAAAAGGGGAAAGTGAAATTCTGGAAACAATGCACTTATTGCACTTCGTGAAAGGAAAGACAGCATACGGTGGTTCCGGTGCAATTATAAGAGCAATGGAGTAAAGTTACTGTATGGGAGCGGGACCTACACACAAGAACATCTTTTCTCTATACAGCCTTCCCATTACGTTTATTTGGATATAAAAAAAAAAACAATGTTGGACTCAGAATAGAATGGGGCTTCCTCACACCTTATAACATTCTAATTATCAATGACTCTCAACAAATACAGTAATTAATGGGTTTCGAGGTTTTCTCTGGTGGTGTTGGAGTACACTTCAACACAATTCGAATAGCATAGATGATCCTTGCAAAATAATTAGCTAATACGTGGAAAATGTTAATGAGAAACAAACATTACCATATAGATGGGAGGAACCTCAGAAGGAAAATCGACAACGATCATCTTATTAATGGATTATTACAATAAAAAAAAGAATTATTACAGGAATTTGAATATAATTTAGAAGGTAATTAAAAATAGAAGGACAAATGGTTATTAGTTATTTAGGGATGACATTGAATTTTTGATGGTCAACGAGAAATGACTGCAGTCACTGAAACATCTAACCAGACTAACAACAACAATTAGACCGCGCTACATTTATCTTAAATATTCAATTTGAAAGAAAAAATTTATAAAATTTAATAATTAATTAATCAGATTGATCGTCTGAAATTGATGTGAAGTGGGCCCCACAACTAATCCCCCATCCTGTTTTCTCTTTCTATCTCCAGCAAAGGTATTAATATTTGGTACATAAAGTTATTCCCAGTTACCTCACAACCTCCCGTTTCTCAGGTTTCACTTGGATTGATAAGTTTGATTTTTTATTATTTTTTATCAAAAAAAAGGATAACTATATCTCGGTTACAAGCTTCAGCATCAAGAGATAAAACAACGCAGTTTAATCAAAGGGAAAAATAAAAATCCTCTGAATTAGATACTAACTAGGAATACGCAGCAATACAACTAATTGGTAAAAGAATTTCTCTCATATGTTGAGAAACTGGGAAGAAGACATATAACTGGAATTGGGGGATTTTCCCGTGAGTCAAATATGGGAGGAGTTCATTAAAACCGCCGGATCTACCATACTTTCAGATAACCTGGTGGTGGCTCTCTGGTCAACTCTAAAATCTGGAAACGTGCGAGAATAACTGACTAAAGCTGTGCCAATAAAGAGGTCAATCTATCCACGGACAGGGCCAAGCCTTAGGAATTGTTTAAGTGCCTTGGCAACAAACCGGAGGAAGTATCTACAACATTTCTATCCACAACAAGGGCAATCTTAGAAAGGCTTAAGCAATTGTAGAGCTGAACGAGTCAAAGACTCGCGGATGCTTGAAATACGCATCTGCCTAACTACGAAGTTAACTCTCATAGGTTGAGCCATAGATGCCTATTCCGTGAGACAGCATTTGTGTTTGAGGACTCGCCCAACCCAAACCAATGTCAATGGACACGAAGAACAGCTTCGAGAAAACCAAAGAGGGAGCTAGGGAGTCAGGGATTTCCTATGGAAGGGCCACACACCCACCTGGTTACACAAGTGCGAATCTTCCACTCCCCTCTACCGCATTGGGTTCACAAATAGGACACGAGGTATCTATGAGGCAGATCTGCTGGTTTCATTGTTAAAAGTACAGAGTGTTGCATCAGATAAGAAATCAGGTTCTCGAGGTCAAGGAGATTTCAGCTGGGACATATCAATTAGGCCTAACATATCATAGTTCTCGAAAATGGGGACGAAAAGCTCTTTCCAAACAAGGTAGTTGTCACATGTAAGTTTGGCTGGCATGAGGAAGGCAATGTGTTGAGCAGCAATAGAAGGCGTGTAGGACCAGGTTTGATGAGGCATATCAGATGAGGAAGCATAAAAAAAAGGGTTAGTCATATCTTGAATCGTTGAAGAGGCCATAGTTTAGAAGAAGAAAGAACAATGTAATAACCGTTGGGTATTAATGGCTCTGGATACCATAATGAAAAACAAAGTTGAGGAAAAGAATCATCTATGTATATGGTTTTGAATTGATTACAAGATATCTTTGAAGAAGAAAGAAACGACAGACCTAAAGCTCGAAACATAAAGAGTAAAACAATAGTATTTATATACATGACTACATTTGAAACCCTAAAAGAATATTCTTCTTGCTCATCCTTATCTATGCACAGCTATCCAAGCCTTACTGTTAATGTACCGTTAAGGTGATGCTAAATGAGTGATGGGTGTTTTGATCAATTGAACAGGTGTCTTGGCAAAGTGCGGCACCATGGGCTTTGTTCTCTGGACTATGGTTAATATATTAAGCCTAATTTACTACAAAAAGGAGATATTAAGAATAAGTACCCATATTAGTAATAAGTGGAGTTGAAATTATTTTTCAGCATATTTAGGGATCATATTTTTCTGAAATAGCTCAATGGGAACTTAAATTTAATATTTCAACCAAATTTTGTCAATAATGTCATGCATTGGCCACGTGAGTGAATTTTTTAATGAAACATAAAGAATAGGATTAAGTACCTAAACTCTTCTAATTTTTGGTGTGATTCCAAATTAGTCCCAACATTTTCAAACATTCCAAAAGAGTATTCAATGTATAGGAAATATCACTTATGTTAAGTCTTAAGTTAGGAGAACCGTTAGGTGCTTACGTGGCATTTTTGGGAGAGAGGGGAAGGAGAGAGAGGAATTTTAGAATGTTGAGACTAATTTGACCATGAATGCCACGTCACATCATAAAAAAAAATATGATCAACAATGCCACGTAAGCACTTAACGGTTCTCCTGACTTGGGATTTAACAGACGTGATATTTCCTATACGTTGGATACTCTTTAGGAATGCTTGAAAAGGTTGGGACTAATTTGAAATCACACAAAAAGGTTAGAGGTTTTAGGTATTTAATCCTAAATAATATAGTTAATTAAAATATTAGAACATATATAAAAATTTGAAAAATATAAAAGAAATTATTATTTTATTTTTTTTTGAAAAAAGGAGACAACTGGTAGAAAGCTACAGTTATCCATCCGTTTTAGGTTCAGAGAGACTATGGAGAATTTCATCTTACCTGTGGCCACATTCAAATAGGAGAACCAGCTAAGTATTTTTTTTAATAAAAAAAATATTTTAGTAGGTAAATTTAGTGCTCAAATGTCAAAGTGTCTCCTAAATGTTGACGCTAGGTGTTTTTAGAGCATCTCTGGCAGATTTCAATTGCCCTTGTAATTGAGTGAAATTGCCTTCTTGTCCAAATAAACTTGCTCCACCGGTGGAAAAATGAGAGGGCAATTGTGAAAGGAATATGCCCAGCCAGCAAGTTGCCCAACCAATTATTGAAGGGCTTGCGCCCGAGTGGAGAAGCATATATCGTTGATCTTTAATTATTTGATAATCGTATCGATTTATATGTCGTCAATATCTAATTAATATGGTACGTAGCCAACACTTTATAGATTTTAAGAAAAACAAATAAAATGAGCTTAAAAACTTTTAGTTTTAACGATATAGACAAAATAAAAGGTAAAGTTACCAGAATTGACTTTTTAGTGTAAAAATATGATTTTTCGTTAAAATGAATAGTACTGCGAATTTTTCGTTAAAACGCTCTAGATTTTACCATCTTTTACAAATGAAGGGTAAAATCGCCTTTTAAGGTCCAAAAAAGACCTTCAGAACCGTTTTAATTGTCCAGAAATTGCATCCCGGTCCATTTTTTTGAACGAACATATAAAGGGCGGGTAAGAGTCTCACCCTCACCACGAGGCCTATATATATTATATACCAAGAAATAAAAAAGATGAGAACTTTAGTACGACCACTTGTTCGCCGGAGAAGACGAGCCAATTGAGAACGACGGCGATGCGTTTCCAGCTCAAACCCTAACCCTAAGAATCGAACGAAAAACCCTAGCCTTGTTCAGCCTCTTCTCTTCTCCGCCATTGCCACATCTCTTCTCCGTCTTCTTCCTCTGCGATTTTACGTCCACAACCCTAATTTTCCGATTGCAATTTGTACGAATCGGAAACGATTTAGCGATTTTTATTACCTTTATTTTCTTTCAATTTATCTTCCTTCTTTTTTTTCAAGATAATCGGTGATTTGGCGGGAATGGAAATTCGTATGAACTGCGTTGAATCTAATGTGTTGAGTGTGTGATTGTTTTTGCGCAGAGTGTGAATTCGATGGAAAACCTTCACAGCAACTCGAAAATGGCGAAATTGGACACACGATTGTTCAGAGGGAACTTGGAGAATGTGGACGTCAACACGCCGTTGTTCAGGTACTTGTGCGCTCAGTCTCACTCTCCGTCACTTTCTCCGACGGACACCTTGAAGCAACGTCGCCGCCACCACTCGCCGCTGTCGCCTCTGGAGAATCTGATGCAGAGGTCGCCGTTCTCGCCTCTGGAGAATCTGATGCAAAGGTCGCCGCACTCTCCTCTGCAGAATCTGATGCAGAGGCCGCCGCCTCCGACAGTTTACAGAACGCCGATAGGAGCGGTGGAGAGGGAGGAGGTTTTGGTGATGGACGGTGTTTTGGTCACCGGAGGAGGAGGGAGGAGTTCGAGGTCCGCATCATCATCGGATTATTTGGGGAAGACGCCGTGCAAGACTGATCTTTACAGGTCCTGGGAGGATTCTCGAAGTTACGCTTCCAAATACCAGGTCTTTCTCTCTCTCTCTTCTTGTTCATCGATTCTTTCTTAATATTTAATTGCTTATTTGCTAATGAGGAATGTTTAATGCCTGGATTATTGTTTTAGCAGCATTATGATTGTTTCTTTAAAAGATTGGTGTGAAATTATTACTTTCTTTTTTGTTGTTTTTTCTTTGTTTCGAGTAAAAGATTTCTGTTTTTGGAATTGAAATTCGACAAATCTTGTATGCTGGTACTGTATCCATGCCACACCTCTTTCTTCTTCGCGTATTGATTTGGTAGTTTCCTCAAACTCTCGCCTCCGTTTTTGTGCGTGTGCTTATTGACTGGCAGAATAAATCTAAGGCCTCATTTGGTCTTAAGGATTGGATTAGATTGAGAAACTCTAAATTCTTACAAAAGCGATATTCGCTTGATTAAAATGGTAGGACTAAAGCAGAAAATGTTGTTACTTGCTTCCTCGAAATAGGTAAACATACACAGAAAAATATCTTCCAACATTAACAATGCTTTGAGATTTCAGATAATGCTATGGTTAATCAAAATGATGGTCCATGCATTAAGAACTTCCGTTGACGTTGAAGGGTGTGTACAAAAAAGAACTTAAATTTTACTATCTGTTATAAATATTGAAGTAGCAGATAGTTCCAAAGTGGAGGTTAAAGTCTGAGACTTGTTTGAAGATTTGTACTTGTCAAACTTAGTTGGTCTACTGTTCCACATTGACTGTTTGGGTGAATTTAAACTCTAAGGTTTACGTCTTTCTCGTTGGATTATGCAAATGAACAAAGGTTCAGTCGGGGTTGAGTAGTCTTGTTAAATGAGGAAGTACTGTAAGTTTTGCATTCTTGGTTCTTTCTCATAGGCCATAGTCAATTCTAGTGTTCGAGTATTTTCCTTGTACTCATATGAATGTTGCAGTAAAATTATATTTCATTAAGTAGAGCTATGTCGGTTGCTGTCGACATGACTACCTTTTTTCATCATACAGTCTTGAAATTAACTTATCGAACAAGTTTTTCGATAGTGAAGGGAAGCTGGTATCTTTGGCAGAAAAATGAAAGCTGTTAATTTCTACTGGGTTTCGTTTTGATTTGTTGGCTGGTGCGTTATTTGAGATGTTGGTTTTTTGTACTTTGAGTTAATGTTACAAATTGGGTTTGTGTTGCGGTACGTTTGATGATTTGTGTGTTTTAATATGTTGGCTCCTGCTGCTTGTATGTTTTATGATAATGGTATTTGGTGTTTCAAGGTGATTTGTGCAGAAATTTCCTTCCCGATGGTGAGTATGTAACCCGAATATAATTTGCTGCAGATTTGTATTGATAAATTACCATTTTTATCTTTCAGTGTGCTTCTGGAAAAGAAAAGCAGCGTCCAACTCGTTGCCCTGTCAAGAACAAACCTGAGGTGAACAGCTGTGCAGTGCATTTTTAGCTGTTAGCTATTGATATAGCTCACCTACTGAAAATGCCATTGTTTCTTGTGTGTTGGTTTGTCCAGGCACATATATGCAAGTCATACACTGCCACAAGTTATCCATGCCCACCCAGCCCCAAGTCCCGATTTATCCATCCCGTCATGCCATCTTCAGTTACAGAAGCAGCAGGAGCCAGAACACAAGCAGCCTCATCGACTACACCCAAAAACGCCATATCAATCCCTGCTACCACCACCATCTGCCTGGACTGGTCACCCCAAGATGATGGCATTGAGGTTGTATTGCCGCATTCATCAACTGGAACACCTCCATCAAGGGAAGATATAGATTCCTACATCAGCGACGTTCTTTGTGGTCCCACTAAAGGAAGGAGATTACGAGTGTTTGCTGAGATTTATGCAGTGCAGTGAACTGATTGGTACGGAGAAGCTTCCACCTGAGACCAAAGGTATAATAATGTACATTCCTCCGATTTCTTCCTCAAACAAACCCGGTTCCTTTCAGTCTCAACTTTTTTTCGACTCGCTGCTCGTATTGTAGTACGGAACAGGATTAGATTGAGCACGAATTCTTGTCAACGAAATACTTGTTGACGGGGCATTATCGATGCTGTTACCACAGTACACTGTATAACATTGGATGATATTAGCTATAAAAACTTCATATTCCCAGTGTAATTACACTTTGTGAAAACTAATTGGTTTTCTAGGCCATATTTGTTAAATGAGGTCTTCTGCCTGTATCTTCTTCGTGACTCTTGCCTTATTTTTTGGCACTGGTGGTAGGAAAATATTTCTGCTCACCGCGGTTTGAGATATGGTGACTGGTGAGCATAACCGCGACATTGGTTGCCATTGGATGGAATTAAATTTGAGATTTTATACAGCAGATAAATTAATTGACACTCATCTAATCGCAATCAATGCGGTGGTCGTGCTCACCACCATACTCCGATGGCGAGTCAAATCTCTACCGTCTACTTGCCAATTTGATGAGGAATACGAAGTATAATATTGTGCAGTCCAACTAAATGGACTCCACAACTTTGGCTCAAATCACCAAAATTAACCGTGTCTAGAAATTCGAACAGCATCACTAAAACGATCATATTTTATTGTAGGAATATCAGATTGACATGATTCCAACGCCGTTGAAAAAAAGGCTTCTTTAGCTTTCCAGCCATATATGGTGTTCGATCTGGTTCCTCTGTATTAGGGGTGGGTTCGGTTCAAATCGGTTCAGTTTTTTGTCAAAATCGGAACCAAACCGAAATTTCGGTTCGGTTTACATTTTTTGTTTTTGTTATTTTTTCAAAAAATGAAAAACATTGAAATTTTAAATTTTAACATCTCCAACACAATCATAACATAAACACTCTAACTAGAATCAAAGACAATGAAAATAAACATTTATCGTTGAACTAAAATCATCAATCAAGTCTTCCAAAATCCAAACTAACAACCTTACAACACAAAAATCGTACAAATGACTTAGAAAAGTTAAATTGTATGATGTTGTTCAAAGATCAGGGTTGTTTGCTTGTAACTGCATGTTGACAACTTGATTAGTAAAAGTAATGCGTGGGTGGATTTATTTAGTGTGTGTTGGATTCTTTTCCATCACAAATTACGTAAGTAATCTACTCGAAATAAATGTTTATGGATTCTGTTACATGTTATATGAGAGTAGATTTGGAAAAGAAAGCTGGGGCAGAAGTAGACAGTGCTATGGAGATGGATGTAGGTACTTCAGGAGGAGGTTTGGTTCTGGAACCTTATACGGGGGAGAAATCATAGGTTAGGGTTTAGAGTTTTTATAGGCATTTTTTTAATATTTTGAGCTTAAAGTTTGGCAACACATTGGGTTTAGCACATTTTAACTTACAAATTGGGTTTAGAAAATAATACCCAAAACAAATAATTAAATAAAAAAATTAATTTAATTAATTCGGTTCGGTTTCTAGATCACTAAACCGAAACCAAACCAAAAGAATTTGGTTCGGTTTTTTCGTTCGGTTCGGTTTTTTTATTTCGGTTCGGTTCTATTTTCGGTTTTTTTCGGTTTTCGGTTTTTTGAACCCAACCCTACTATGGATGAATAAATGACAGCCCACTAGTAATCATAAACTCTCACATTTTAGAGTATCCAAATCGCCAGGTTTTAGGCATCACTGTGATATCTCGGGATCTTACTTTGAATGTACACGGACCGTCATTAAGATCTCAAAACTCCATTTAGGCTTGAAAATGGGAAATTTGGAAAAATAACCAAAATATTGTATAGAATTATAATCACATTTTGAAGTTTATGATAATTATGACCAAAATTTGATATGAAAGTACTAATATATCCTAATGAGTGAAAAGTTATAAACTTCCTCATGTTCTTAAGTGTGAAAAAACTAGAACAGCCAATAGCTCTTTGGACTAGCTCGCCCCTTCCCAAAAAGTTGGTTACTAGCAAAATCAATGAACGCCTTAAATGCTGATAACTAGAGTTGGATCTCAACCGATGAGCTGTTGTTAACTCTATCCTTATTGCCTAGGGAATGAGAATGAAAGCTTATACATTTCCGAGGCCATTCCGTAAACTTTTGAACCTTAGCAGCAGCTTCTGCCTAGGGGTGGGCACTTGGAACCAAAAACCGAAACCGAAACACGAATCGAATCAAACCGCACCAAACGGTTTGGTTTTGCGGTTTTGAAACGATTTCGGTTTCAAAACCGAACCGCGACACACAAAACGGTTTGGTTTCGGTTTTGGGTTTTCAAAATTGCACCGAAACCGAAACCGAAACCGAAACCGTACCATATAATAAATAAATGTTATATAACTTATATTTTAAACTTTTCAACTAGGTGCCTTCATGACCTCCTCTCCATTGCTGGAGGCACTATGCAACTTATAAAAAATAAAAGGGAACTTTAACGAAAAGCTCTTGGCACCGTTCATTTTAACGAAAAATCATATTTTTACACTAAAAAGTCAATCATGGTACTATTCACTTTACCCTTTATTTTGTCATTTTTGTTAAAACTCAAAGTTTTCAAGCTATTTTCATTAGTTTTCTTAAAATAAAATGGGTAACCAACAAATCAAATAGCACATCAATTCCAAAATTAAAAGGAAATAGATTGCCAAGGTGCTCAGCAGACACAATCAACAATACCGCACTACACCTGTGGTTCAAAGAAAATAAATAAAAGGAGGGGGAAAGGATGAGACATGACTTCAAGGAATAAAATTTGATGCATTAAAAGTATATTAGTACTTTCACATCAATTTTTTATTATAATTATTATAAACTTTAAAAGTTTGTTATAATTCTATATGAGTTCCAAATTTCCCCTTGAAAATCCTTTGTTTGCATATAGTCCTACAAAATAAGAAAATCACAAATAAACTACTATTTAAGGATGAAAAACTATACATAATCGGTAATAAAAATACTAGTTTGAACACTACAATTTAATGATATTATTTCTTCAAAAAATACTAAAGAGACTATTTCAAAATGGAACTCTCTATAGACTTTTTGATATCTTATATTTTTTTAGGGTAAACTGCCAATTTAGTCTCTAAATTATCATCTTAGTAAAAATTAGGTCCCTAAACTATTTTTTTTTCAAAAAAATTAGTCCTTGAATTATAAAAATCTGCAAATTACATCCCTAATGTTATATTTGAAGCTACTATATTCAATTTTCCGTCAATTTAAGTCACGTTACTTGCATGTGATGCACATTGGAGGGTAGATTAGTAGTTTTTCATAAAGAAATAGTGTATGAAGTTAACTTTGGAGGAGAAATTAGTAGTTTTTTTTAATAAAGAAATAGTGTAAATTAACTTTTGAGGGTAAATTAGACATTAAATTCGCAACCTATATGAAATGTTAAGCACTTATAGACAAGAAAATGATGGTATTACACTCTAAAGTGTGTCAAGTGACTTAAGTTGACAAAAATTGGATAAAATAGCTTTGAATATAATAGTAGGAATGAAATTAACAATTTCTAATGAATTTAGGGACTTATTTTACCGAAAAAAATAAGTCAAGATCTAATTTTCAATGAAGTGATAGATCAGAAACTAAATCCACATTCATCCTATTTTTTATGCTCAATATTTTATAATGTTTTTAGTCGAGACTTGAGAGACAGAAAAAAGACAAAAACAAATCATTTCCAGTAGAAAGAGATAACGTTTGAAACGTCCGACTCCGAGTTTCCATCTGAATAATCGTACGTACACTATCAACTGGCCTACGCCACTTCACTCTACCAGTAACAGAAGCAGCGGCGCAGCAATGTCGAGGGACGAGGCGGAAACGGCGGAAAATGAAAATAATTGGGCGGCGGAGGAGGAGGAGGAGGAGCAGTGCCGTCTGTACGAAGCCTACAACGAACTCCACGGCCTTGCGCAGGCCTTCGACACTCCATTCGACGCGCCAGCGGTGCTTGTGGTGGGCCACCAGACCGACGGCAAGAGCGCCTTGGTGGAAGCACTCATGGGGTTCCAGTTTAACCACGTCGGCGGCGGCACCAAGACCCGCCGTCCCATCACCCTTCACATGAAGTACGATCCCCACGCCCATTCCCCCGTCTGCCGCCTCCTCCTGCCCTCGGATTCCAATTCCGATTACGAAAAGCCTCTCTCGCTCCAAGAAATTCAAGCCTACACTGAAGCTGAGAACATGAGGTTGGAGAAGGAGCCTTGTCTCTTCTCCTCCAAGGAGATCATAATTCGAGTGGAGTACAAGTATTGCCCAAATCTTACCATTATCGACACTCCTGGACTAATCGCTCCTGCTCCTGGTCCAAAGAATCGAGCTTTACAGGTTTCCCATTGTCAATAATGTTTGAATTTCGAGTCGAAAACGTGATGATTTCATTGGTGACCGTATTCCAAATTTCGATAGTGTTGCATCGTAAATTTGTAATTGATGATGATGACAGGGCCAAGCTCGTGCTGTTGAAGCACTTGTACGAGCGAAAATGCAGCATAAGGAGTTTATAATTTTGTGTCTTGAAGATTGCAGTGACTGGAGTAATGCAACTACAAGAAGGGTTGTAATGCAGGTATTGCTTCTTTTGTTCTGTTTATGCATTGTGTTGTATTGATTTTACTCTTTCCGGTCAAGCTTTACCTTGGTCATTGTGTGCAGATTGATCCCGAGCTCTCAAGGACTGTGATTGTCTCAACAAAACTTGATACCAAAATACCCCAGTTTTCTCGTGCCTCGGATGTGGAAGTATTTCTCTTACCTCCCACTTGTATGCTCGATGGGAGTATCTTGGGAGACTCTCCCTTTTTCACTTCTGTGCCCTCTGGAAGAGTTGGTGTAGGCCAAGATTCGGTTTACAGATCTAATGATGAGTTCAAAAAGGTATTCATGCTCACCCTCTATTCATTTTCGGAGAGTAAAAAAAAGAGGAAGGGTTGTGATGTTAATTCGGCAACCTAATTGATGGTTGCCAATATTCCGCTGCAGATTATTGTTTTTATCATTTAATGATATAAACATTAAGCTTTAAAGTAGATCAGTATTGTTTAGTAACTATATTTCATTGAGTGTGATAATTTAATCCACTGACCCTCAGTGGCAACTTTTGAAGTCAGAGTTTGCTTCTTTATGGCTCTAAATGATGGCCGGTTTGCACCATTTTCTTATACAGGCAATATCATTAAGAGAGATGGAAGATGTTGCAAGCTTGGAGGAGAAAA